CTGGGGAGGTCTGGACCCTGGGAGCCCGCGCCGTTCCCGACCGGCCTGCGCCTTCCACATCTCGTCGGCGCAATTGTGGCCAGAGATGTGCTCGGCCCGGCTCTCGAAGAGTGCCTGGCGGCGGAAGTACTCCTCGCTGGCGCCGCGTGGGGCGTCGTCGGTCGTCGCAAAAGTCGTCTCGATAGAGCACAGGACGAGGGGAGGGGGAGGGAGGGTCTCCTCCTCCTCCTCCTCCTCCCACATCCCTCCTGTCCCTCTTCATTCCTCCTCATTTGTCCCTGATCCTCCTCCTTCTCCCCCTGCTCCTCCTCCCTCCTCCGTTTGCCCTCTCTTTCTCTCTCTCTCTCTCTCTCTCTCTTTTTTTTTTTTTCTCTCTCTCTCTCTCTCTCTCTCTCTCGCAAAGCCGTCGTTCTTCCCAGTCCGCGCCGCCGCCCTGCCTCGCGTGCCAGGCGCGCCGCGGGCGGAATGCGCGGGAGGCCACCTGCCCGTCTTTTTTATTTGCCCTCTGGTGGAGGTCTCTGGAGGCCCCCGCAGAAGAATTCTTCAAATGCCTCCCTCCAGAGGGGGGGAAGCTTTGAGTGGAGGGATGAAGGGGAGGGTCCTCAACCATTCGGCGGCGAGCGAGGGGGGAGTGAGTGAGAAGGAGAAGGCCCTTTCAAAAGACGGCGGGGATTCCCAAGAGCTCTCCGGCCTCATGAAAGGTTTTCTGTGCCTTCGGGGAAGGCTTCGAAGACTTCACGGAGGGTTGAGGATTTTGTTGAGCCTTCTGAGAAGGCCCGCCCCCTCGCACCTCCCCCCCCGAGGCTGGCCGCCGAGTCATCCCTCTTCTTTTGACGAGGCCCAGGAGCACACAAATAAACAAGTGGCACGCGTGCCCTGGCTCTTGCACCAAGGAGCTGCGAGGGACAGGAGGCTTTTGCCTCCTTCCTCCAGGAGTTTACTTTTGTGGCCGTGGGGGGGAGCACGAACGACGAACGAACGAGCGACGACGACGAACGAAAATAAAGCGGTCCGAGCTCTAGAGCTCTAGAGCACAGCTGTGCAAGAGAATACACCCACTAATGCCCGGATGCTTTATATGTTCCATATGTTCTGGATGTCCGTCTTGCCCCCATGCACCATGTTTCAATACTTTCTGGGGAATCGTCGATGATTTGTGTCTCTGTGTTTTCTTCCCTCATGACATTTCGAGACGCAAAAAGAGCGAGCACTTCAAGTCGCCCGCGGTGCCTCCAAAACGCTTCGGGCCCCCAAAATCCCATCCGAAAAATAAACGAAGCAACAAACATCGTCCACTTCCCTTGGGACAGCGCACGCTCTTCGCACATCCTTGTTGTTGGCTTTCGCGGCGCCCAAGACGGCAAACAAATACAATTTCGCCCCGAAACGGACCAATAACCCCCCAAACCGGTTCAGCAAGGGCCCAAGACGGCTTCCGTGACCGCCAGCATGGGAGGGCAGAGAGCCGACACCGGCATCAAGAACCTATTGTTTCATACAACTTGGAATTGCGTTTGGGGCCAGCGTGAGCCCGTCCTGGTCTTCTGAATCGCAGGGGGGGGGGGCGAGGAGAGGGGGAAAGGGAGACATCGCGCAGCGCGCAGAAGGGAGGGCAGGAAACAAAAAGCGCAGGCGAGAGGCGAAGCCGGCGGGGCGTTTCCGGGGGAGGGAGGAGAGGGAAGGAGGCGGTTTCCTCCATGACCGAAGCCCCCCCCCCCCCCCCCCCCCTCCCACGCCGCCCTCCTCCACGCCTCCCCCCCACCCCTGTTGGGCGCCCGAGTTATCCGGGGTAACTCGGGTCCGGGGCGGGTTTGGATTCCCGAAAAAGGAACCCGAGTTAGCCCTGACACGAGTTACCCCTGATGATGTGGGGCTCTGGACGCCCGAATTATCCAGGGTAACTCGGGTCCGGGGTAAGTCGGGTTCGGATTCCCGAAAAACGAACCCGAGTTAACCCTGACCCGAGTTACCCCTGGTGATTCGGGGCTCTGACCCCGTGCCCCCCTCCCGCTCCCTTACCCCTCCCCGAGCCCGCCCCCTGCCTGCCCGTCGCCTCCCTGGTCCGCTGCGAGCCCGAGGGCGG